ATGATTTATTTTTCCAAAAGGATTAACAATTTAAATAAAAAAATAAAAATGAGTTTCATATCACAGGAAATCTGTTATTCTTTTTTCTTTATAGATACAAGATAATTACTCCGTTAAAGCAATTTGAAGTTATCTTGAAAATATCAAACTGTAACTTTAAAGGTAAAGACCAGTATTGGATACCCCCAATTTCAAAAAATGAAATGGAAGCTCTCATTACCAATCATGTGAAAGAATATGTTTTGACTACATGTAATACATGATGATAAAAAATTTGCCGGGAAACCGCCTACTAATTCATATATTTGGTAAATTTGTTTCTCTCATGGTCTGTGAGAGATATAGGGTAGTCCCATATACATCTTGCTGTGTATAGTGCTTGTAACTTTAGAAAGAATGGGCCAAATTTCTTATCATTTTGATTTTTGATGATTCCAGAACCTTGCAGATGCTAGATGCTAGATGATCAACCTTTTCTGATCGATTCCACAACGTTTCTTTCACAATGCAATCGCATGACCATAACTGGTCTTTACCTTTAATGCGTGTCACATAATGCTGCGGAATACATTGTGACAATATCAGTGAAAAGGAGAAAAGAGAATCCCTTTTACATCGAGCTGCAACCTCCTTCAATACCCAGAAAATGCATCCCACAAGATGTATTTATAGATAATTGCGCTCGAATTACTCAGTCTGTCACTCAGGCGAACTGGAAAACAGCTCCGTATTACACAAAAACAATGCAAATTCCTTGGAACTTGAGTCACACAAACCCAATCTCTTTTCTCCAGAACAAACACAGTACAACAAGTTAACTTTTGTTCAGTCATCTCAATTCATTCTGTACTGAGCTGTGCAGGAGCAGCACCATGTTCACACACTTATAAAACTTCAAGAATAATGAAAAATTGTCAATGGCCCATTTAATATCTTTATTTACTTTGTTACCTATTACCATTCGTCTTTGCATGTATCATGAAGTGAAAAATATAAGTGAATAATGGGGAAATTATTTTGCAGTGACAAAGCAAGACAAAAAAAGTGTACAACAAAGAAATAAAGTAACATAACTATCTACAAGAACAACTTCCCATTTATGGCATCCATATAATTGGTATAATTTCAATAAGAACAACTCTTTATTTAGTAAAACAGGTTCTTAATTTTAAAGTATTGTTATTCTTATTATCAGGTCTATAGAACATTCTTCCAATTTACTCCAAAAGGGTCAATCTAAATTGAAAAGTTAAAGATATTTTTTTTCTTAAAATCTTTGCATTTTTAGGGAAAGATATACTATGATAAAATAATTTACTTTCTCCGCAATTTTAAAGATCTTTAGCAAACCATTAAATAAAAAAAGAGATCACACATACATGTACATCACAGATAACATTTCTTTCATCAAGCATTCATAATAATTAGTTGATGCAAGTATGGTTCCTTAAATTATGGTGAATCTTCAAAAATACTTCAACGCATATATATTCTACTATCATGCATGTTCATACATGCAGTATGTGTCAACATGCCTGAGAGTTCACATGTTAAGCTTATGACTGAAAGATTGCAGTAATATTATATTTTGTGTTTACAGAGATTTCAGTAAGATAGCGTGCTCATTGTAAACTTGGACTTGGAACTCTTACATGTATGTATGTAGGCATATACATAGATAAAATCGTCGCTGTTTTCACGAAGTGACGGTAGTGAAAAAAAATTGCATTCACTTTGCATGACGATTTTCCTCACTACCGTCACTTCGTGAAAACAGGGACGAAATGTGTGATGCATTTGGGGGGATGGCTAGGAAACTGAACGAAGATTGTAAAATAAATGAAACCGGTACTTATTACACATGTATTCTATTCCTGGAAATGGTACAGAGGTACAACCCCCCCCCCCCTCCCATCTGTCTGGGGAGGGTTCCATTTAATTGTTGTATTGTTATAATGCATGTGCGGTGTGCACTATGCCTGTGGTAACAACTTTAAAATATGGTTTAATAACTACCACTAAATATGCCCCTTCTTCTCACCATTATTTTTCCACTGTTAGGTTCCACAAATCACAACCAAATGTGATTCATTCAAGTTGACCAGATGAAGTGGGTTTGAATAACGACAGATGATGATTAAAAAATACATTCTTCTAATCTCTCTCCCTTTCCCTCTTCCCTTCTCCATCTCCATCTCACTCCCATCCTCTCTGCATTCATCTTGTTTCTCTCTCTTCTGTCTCTCCTTTGTCTCTTTTGTCTTCCTTAGAACTGTTTTGTCCATCTTCCTTTCTTTTTCTCTCTCTCTCTCCCTCTCTCTCTCTCTCTCCCTCTATTCCAAGACACATACACAGATACTTCACAGGTTCTTCAATGACAAGGTGGAGCGAGGCTGGTATCACGATGCTTGCCTCAGGATCTCTGATAGACTCGATAACAGGGGTTGGGTAGGATACCACAATTACAAATAGCAAAGACAAGAAGAAGAGGAAAAAAATACTTGTTGACTCCAGATTATGATCAGGGCAAAAATGTCTTGGTTCAAGGGATCCCAAAAATAGATCCTGTCAACTGATTTCTGACCTTAAAAAGTCCTTCCAAGGGTCACATTCCATAATGGAAGGCAAAAATAATAAAATCTGAGACTCTCCATAGGGAAGAATCATGAACGCATTCTACAAATAAATGTGTACTTTTGAACAATAGGAATAGACAGCTAGAGAATGCATACAGGCCTAATACTATTTGCTCTTCACACTATTACATTTTAAATAATTTTTAATGGAAATCAAGATTCAAATTTATTCATGAAAAGTACAAAAGTATATTAAAAAAGTATTGGTGCTATATTCACCGCTATTCTATATATTTTTTAGTACCAATCATCTCCTCAAAAGTACATTATTTGATGGTCATAGGCTAACCTTAAAGTTAAATTGCTACAACAAACATTACCCATCTCTTGCATACTTGGTACAAGAGGCACAAAAAGTAACATCGGACATTGTATTTAGATTTACATGTACCAACAAAGATGGGGTAAAATTGGTATACTGGGTATCCATGTATTTCTTTCGAGATAATATGACAAGTTTTAGGTCTAACATCAAGTTCTTTTATTGAACTATTGCCAATACAGAAGTAGAAGTACAAAATACATATGATGCACAAATACAGAGGCATAAATACATTTGGTATGATCGAGATGAGCAGTCGAAGCCATATTCATAATTTCATTTATCCACAAATGATTTATTGTCTTTTTCTCCAGCATGACTAGCAGTGCAGACATCATTACATTTCTTAAAGACCCTGTCGGAAGTGAAAAACAAAAAAGATGAATATATCTATATCAAAGGAAAGCTCATAAGCTATAAATGACAATATATGTTATTTTAGTGTCTGCCAGAGGAGTAACAGCTCTTTGAAAACTCAAAATCTAAAGCTTTGAAAATCTGAAGTTTTCAATCTAAAAACTAGCTATCGATGTGATGACATTATAATTATAAGTAGAGTACGCATTATTTGGAGGGATGTGGATAATGAGGTTTTGATTTGCTTTTGAGCAATACTAAAAAGGAAAATATGCCTATATATTTATATGCTATGTTCATTCAGCTTTCCATTGACATACAGTGTAAAGTTGTATTTTCATCTGATACCAGGTCTTAAAGTATTCACTATTAGGGTTCTGAATTCTGATGTAGGTTATAGGCTTATAAGAAATGATAAAGAAATATGGGGCATGGTTTATGACTTTATGGTTGCATATAATTCAGATTTATCAATTTGCTTTCCATGCTGCATGCCCTAGGCTTGAGGACGACACTGCGAGCTCATATAGACCTATCTTTTTTTTTTAAATTAGACTACATGTATGTAATTGGAAAATAATGGATATTTCAAGCCATTTCAATATTCACAAACATTGGACCTTCTTCTCTTGTTACCTTACCTTGTTATCTTATGTTTCATAATTTCACTTTCATTCATTTGTTTTCTTGTCATTACTCTGTTAAGTTTTAATTGTATCGATATTGTAAAGCGCTTTGATATAAATGTTTTATGAAAAGCGCTATATAAGTAAAAGTTATTATTATTATTATTATGACATTCTTCTTTATAAGCTTAAAACAAATGTTTATTGCTGAAAATGTAGAGTCATAAGAAATGTGATGTACATGCATTGAAGAAGTTAATCTACCTTGCCTACAAAATATAAAAGTAAACTAATAACACTACATACAGGAAAAAGGGTCAATCTAAAAAGAGAGCAAGAAATAGCGGAGTTTCGGCTTACTTATTATCAAATCATCTTGCACATTTTTCATAAATGCATGGCCCTGTACAAAAATTGTATCCGACTTGTAAGTCTTAAAACTGAACACTCTCTTTCATATTTGTTAGGGCCTACATGTAGAACAAATTAACTTTTTTATATTTTTGATATTTGAAGTTAATACAGGGAAAGAGGAACATCCTTGGAAATTAATCACAGTCTGGTAATTGCACTGGCATGACTGATATGCCTTGGTATGAGAATAAATCTTAAATAAAATGACATAAAATTGACTTAAACAATTTAAACATGATATTAAAAACTGATGAGGCGCTCAAGAGTCAAGGCCTAATGATTACAAACATCAATATTCTTCTATGATCATGATGATATCTACAAGTTTAGTTTTGTTAAAACCATTGACATCTTTCCTCATCCTGCCGAAATGTCATTGTAAAATCAAAAATTGACATTACACTTGAGCCACTGAGAAGCGTTACAGCGACAGTTGACAGCATTGCCATGATCGCGCAGAAAGGTAGAGAAATTATACCGGCATCGGTACTGGTATCACACACTTGTTGCACATTACCCGAGAGTTCTGGCGCTCTCGGCGGGTGAATATACGCACAAATCCCCGAGAGAGGTACAGAATTTGACAGTTCAGTAGTTTCCGTGGACTTAGTAAAAAATTATTTGAAATGTTTTAGTTTTACTTACTCTCAACACCTATTCCCGATCACAAGATGGACTCGAACCATATCAAACGAAACTGGTTGAAACATCAATTTTACTAATTGATGACGATGTCTTATATTAGTCTTCGGAAACAAAATTCATATATCCGTGAAAATTTCCTTCGGTACCAACCAAGTTTCTCTACTAATGACACAAGACAGACGATCAATGAATACGGCGCATACACACACAATTACACAGTACATAGAGCAAGTGCACACACACAATGGACAGACAACAGGAGCGGTTGAAGAGCGAAGTCGGTGTATTCGGCAGGTGCGCCGAGTACTGGTAGGAAAGAAAGGGGCCGACGCCAAATTCAGTTTCCATGGATATCTAGAGCGCGGGGGAATTCCTGTCTTAGCATGAAAGCTCTGTCGTGTTAAGCGAAAGATCTACTGATGCCTTGTTCTTCTTTTTTTAATTAACTTTATCTTTCATGCTAAAACATTCAGGGAAATTTAACTCTCACTTATATAGGTAATATTTTTTTTAAATAAATTCAGGTATAGCTGGTACTAAAACTAAATAAATAAGACAATTGCCAGGAATTAAAGTCAAGAAAGTGCTTCTTGTTTAAGCCATTTTCTCTTTACCTAGATTTTCTTTTCTTTGACGCTGTTTGAATCACTGATCTGACATATCGAAAGTAGGATTCTTCCATTTCTTTTAACCAAACTTAAGAAATTTGCTGGAAATGTGAAGTAAGATCTATTTGGAACCTGTTGCGGTGCCAGTCCTTAACAGGTACATTTAACTCTTGACATCTAGTATCCGCGAGATGGCGCTGCAGCGGTACAGACAACAGAATACAGTCTACGTAGCGCATTTCCCCTTTTTGTGTACTATTCGGATACGGCGCTTGAAATCCTATTATTCTTTCTCCCAACTGTACTCGTGCTTGCGGAAGAAAAAAAGAAAAAAACGGGCTGTGATTTAAAACCATAAATAACTTTTAAAAAACGGAGATAATATGAGACAAATCAAATGTCAAATATCAAGAGAAGTATAATGAAACGCTATTTCAAAAGGAGTGCATTATGGTCCTTGTGGCCCCTTAATTAACTTTGGTGTTTAATTCTCCTCTCTTACCGCAGCATTTTATTTCCTTTCATAACAACATTTTCGTTTATCTGACCCCTCTATCATCAATATTTTTCCAACCAGTTTATGGATAATAAGATATCACCCCTCTCTTCTCACCTTCCCCCATCCTTTCTCAAAAGAGGATTTTTTTTTTTAAAGCATTTTTAATGGATTTAACAAAAAGCGAGTTTAAACGAATAAACCAATTAATGTCAATGGATCATCTAAGACTCTAAAACACTTACATGTTGATACTTTTCCAAATACTTTCGAAGCTTTTTCATCACAGGAAATTTAAATTTAGGCAGCTCTCTATTCTACCATGGCCCCGTCTTATAAAGATTTGATATCAATTGCAACTATGTATATAAGAGACGGGAGACTGCAAATTTACGATTGATCCAAATCAATCGCAAGTCCTCCAATAAATCGCAAGTTTGCAATCTCCTATCTCTTATGTACATAGTTGCGATTGCTATCGATCCCAAATAAGTTGCTATTTCAAATTATGAGATGTGGTCCTGGTGATAAACAAATTAAGCAAGTGTTACGAGTCTTGACTATAGACTTAGATTAAAAATAATGATGTATTTATGAATGGGAGTTTACACACCTTCTGAAGTTCAAATATATTATGGGATTTTGTCTGGTAGAGGGTTAGATGCGGATTAACAGAAAGTCCTTCGGTTAATCACAAACCTAGCACATAGGCCTAGTAGCGATTAATATTAAACTGCGATCTATGTGAATCGACATTTTGTTAGATAGGGTCCAGTTAGGAATAGGTACGAAGAAGTGCAATATATCTAATCATTCTTGTTTCATAATATGCAATTGGTTTGAATGTTTTCATGGATGTTAGGATATCTGCCATATTATTTACAGCTCGTTAAACAAAACAAAAAATGACGTCATCTTACATACGTCACAATATTGACTTCGTTTTCTTCTTCATTGTATTTCGATTAGCTTACAAATTATCAACTAAGTCCTCTCATTATCAAACCAGATTGGTAGCATAATGAATGGATTACCTATATAAACAAACCCCCTATAGCCTCTTTCAGAAGACTAAAAAGAAGGTTCGAAAAAATATATATGAATAAAGGTCGTCCGTGGGGGGTATAAAAATTCGGACATAAAATAAAAGTTTTTTTATTTGGGACAAAGGGTTGCCTTTGAATTTGTTTGGCCCGTTATGATGAGAAACTTGGGCAGTGGAGAATGAAATTATTCCCCAGTCGTGTGCTTAACACGAGTATCATATTGTATTATATTCGTCTGGACTCTGGATTACAATAGAGAAAAGTAAACAATTTTTTTTTGGTCAGAGTGATAAGAAAAACTGTGGGATCGCATGCATGGTACCAAGGGAGACTGATGATAAAATGATATTGTGTCCTTCGAGGGCTGCGAATCAATTTCCAGAACTTTTTAATTTATAAGAATTTGGTTTGACATCCATTTCTTTCTGCCTTTCTGTCAAGCAATTTATGGTAGATTTAGACACCTGATTTCAAAATTGAAATCTTTATTGAGAACAAAAGTACATTGAGCAATCAGTTTCTTTGGGCGGAGGAGAAGGCTTAGTTTATCAGTTTTAAAGTTTAAAACTTATTTAGATTTGTTCTCTTTTGAAAGAAGCGGTTGAAATCCTACTTTTAAATGCATATAATCATATTTAATTTTTAAAAAAGGTTATGAATAGGTCTACTTTTACACGAAAATTGTATTTCCGGAAATGGTTTAGTGAGCTCAATGTAGAAACGGGTTGGAATGGAGGAGAAAATAAAATAGAGTTTTAATGCTTGACATGATAAATTGGTAGTAGTAGTTAGTAAGCAACCAGAGGACCGACGGCTTAAGGTCCTCTCCGAAAGACCTGGTAATGAGGATAAATGCCTTACCAAAGGGCACTAGCGAATCGCTTTGGTATCGAACCCGGGTCGCCGGGTTACGAGACCACTGATTAGATCTACCGACTGAGCTATTGGAGAGATGAGAGAACGCCTTACGGGGAACTTTGGGCGGTTGGCGCGCTTTTCATGATTTACTTTGATTTTGGAGAGAAAATGTGGCACGCAAAGAGGCTTAATTTACCGCGGTATTCAAGCAAACCTGTGATTTCCCATCATATTGTTAAGATGCACGTACGCCACTCATTTAAATGACAATCGAAAAAAAGCGAATAAAAAAGAAGAGAGATACGTCAAGCATAATTCGAATCGGCTCTTCGCACGTCTGACGTTCTTGTAAAGAGTGAATGATGCGATTGATAATTTTATGCAAAAAAGAAGAGTCAGGGGAGAGCCCCGTCACCCATCGTCTGAATGTTCTGGTAGTGATGGATGCATTGTATTGCCAACACGAAGACGGTTACATTGAGCTTGTTAGCTTTTTCTCAATTTTACCACTTTGCAGCACGATCATGGGTGTTTCTTTACGAGCATGCAGAAAATGAATTCTGATTAATTCAGTGACATATTGTGCTGAATGTAAGGATTTTCTTTTTCCCTACTCGAAAAGATGAAACACATCGAGGCAATGACGTTAGAAAGGTTAAAATTATGCCCTAACTAATGCCCTTTTTTATTTGCTCATGGGTGGCAAAAGTAGGTATACGCATATCACGGGGGGGGGGGGTCTCTCGATATTCACATGACTTGTGCAAATATGAACTTGTGATAATGGCAATTAAATAAAAAATATTATTCTACAGAACCAAATTTTCTATCCGTTTTGCTTTTAGGTAGAATTTTTTAAAGAATTCTCCTACACGAGGGAATTGAAATACCATAGACGTTTTAAGTAGGGCTGAAATGCCCCCCCCCCCCCCCCCACACACACACAGGGGATTCGAAGGGGTAAATGGGGGGGGGGGGGATCATGTCTGGATTATTTCCCGCCGTCACCCTCCCCACGCACACATCCACACACGCGCCCGCACGCACAACACACAACCACCCTAGGCGAGTTTTCGCGGGTGGCGGAAATCCAGAAATCATATATTTTACACGTTTTACAGCGTTTTTTTTCTTTCTTCTTACTCTTTCAATTTTCAACAATTGATTTGAAATAATATATTACGTGTTCCGCTGCATGCACGTTACAATGCCTTTTCCGATTACGTTGACCCTACTAGCATGATCACGACGTGTGGAATATTATGGTCCATCTCTCATGCGATGTAAACCGTCATTATTAATTAGGACAGGGATTATCGTGTCATTGATTTTTACATTAATTCATTCTCGCTAGAAAGCATCATCTTAGAATTTCACTGGAGGATGGACAGGCATTCTGGATTCTGGTTTGCGGTTTCTATTTGGTTTATCCATAAGCAAATTCATGCCCTGTTTATAATATATCAGGTTTATGGAACGGTTTCATTTTAAATTTGGAATTTATTGCTATTTTAGCCCAAAAAAATTGGAGCCAATAGTTAGCCTATATAAAATGGAACTAACTTATAAACTATTATTGAATATTTTTAATTGCATAAATGAAAATTGATTTAAAATTAAAAATCCGCATTCATGAATTTGTATATAGGCCTAGGCTATAATTATGACAATGATTTCGTATTTCATGCGAGCATCAATGAAACTTAATATCTTTATAAATACATATATAAATATATATATAATATGTAGGTTACGCAAAATAAAAAGAAAACGTACTATTTTATCTGTTTCAAGCGAAAAGGCTTTAAAATGCTGTATGTCGAGTGACCTAGCCGGTGTACAATCATTGAGGGAGCGCTAGTGCCTGAAGGGGCGCGGTTGAGGCGGGTAAAGTTATTAGCGGCTGTGAAGAAAAAATATATTGTATCTAATTGGATATAAATGAAAGGTGAAAATAGTTTAGATCACTGGTCTAAGTAACCGCCCTGTTTGTAAATTGAAGGTTACAAATTTTCTCATAATTGCGACCCTTTACTTTAAAGGTACTATGTCCCATTTGCACGCCCCCCCCCCCAAAAAAAAATGGAAACAAAATGGGGGGGGGGGGGCTTGAAAATGTCTTTAAGTGGGAAAATAACGACTATTAGTTGTTGAATCGACTTGAGAGCTATAGAGCCAGTAAGTAATAGTTTGATTTTCAGACCATTGTACCGAATGGTCGTACATTTTGTGCTGCGCATAGATTCAATCAGTTTAATTTTGGCCATTAAGAGGGTTATTGATGTATTGTAGACAAATG